TTCGCATTGGAGCCATGCAGGAAGGTCTAGGACCTTGTCCTCATTTCCAGTTCATTTTTTTGAGGTTCAAGGGCAGGGTGTGTAATGCCACTGATGTCACCGGGAGTCCCTGGCCCAGCACTGATCAATATCGTATGAGTCATCTGAAATAAAACACGGTGATGTGGCAGCAAAGCAGGGAGTGGCCGCTGGAGCTGGTGTTTGGCCAGGGTCAGAACTGTGCTCCACTTGCTTGGACAAGTGTCAGGAGGGGAGACAGCTCAGGGAGAGGGGCAGGGAGCCAGGCAAGCACAGCGGGCTCCTTATCAGACCCAGCCGGACACACACTCGTGCTGCCAGGCTGCCTGCACCAGCCCTTCCCTACGGAAAGCTAGGGGCTGGGATATCGCAGAGCCTGGAGCTGGTCCCCGTGCTGCAGTGGGGTTGTGTCTGCGCTGGGAGTGTTGGGGATGGTTGCTCTACAGTCTCAGCCCACGCTGCCCAGGGCTGCTGTTTTTCACTGATTTCTGTATTCTTGTGCCAATCCCACACTGAGCAGCTCTGACTAGCGAGAGGAAGGAAGTCCAGCCTGGGACTCACACCCTGGGTTAAAGGGCAGCGATGATAAAAATGCCCAGAATCAGTCCTTTGGCTGAGGAGGTTTGCACCTTGTTTCCATCAAGCAGAGGAGCAGTAGGTACCTGGTATTTCTGCCACCCTGCTCCTCCTCCTCCTTGCTGCAGACCCTCCATGACATCCTTTTCGTAGAATCATAGAATGGTTTGGGTTGGAAGGGACCTTAAAGCTCATCCAGTTCCAACCCCCCTGCCATCAGCAGGGACACCTTCCACTAGACCAGGTTGCACAAAGCCTCATCCAACCTGGCCTTGAACACTTCCAGAGAGGGGGCATCCACAACTTCTCTGGGCAACCAGGGACAGTGTCTCACCACTCTCACAGGAAATAATAATTTCCTCCTAATGTCTAATCCATATCCACCCGTTTCCAGTTTAAAGCCATTACCCCTTGTTCTATCACTACCTGCCCTTCCCTCCCTCAGCCTTCCTGTAGCCCCTTCAGGTACGCTTCAGGATCTCCCCAAGGCCTTCTCTTCTCCAGGCTGAGCAGCCCCAGCTCTCCCTTGCATGCTGCAGGGATCAGGGCACACACGGCCCCTCGCTCTGGCTTAGGTCAGTGTTATGGTCCTTGCTTACCCTTCCCACTGTGTTCGCTCTCTTATTCTCAAGGTCAACCCACATGCAACACAATTCCCAATAGGTGCCTGTATCAGCATCGTGGGATCATGCTGACAGACCAGAAATTTGAGCCTTTTGGGGCAAAATATTCTCAGCCTTTGGCAAGTCCCATATGCCCTCTTAGCAGGGCCTGTAGCAATAGGACAAAGAGAAATGGTTTTAAACTAAAAGAAGGTAGACTTAGACTAGATATAAGGAAGAAATTTTGTATCATGAGAGTGGTGAAACACTGGCACAGGCTGCCCAGAGTGGTGGTAGAAGCCCCATGCCTGGAAACATTCAAGGTCAGATTGGACAGGGCTCTGAGCAGCCTGATGTAGTTGAAGATGTCCCTGCTCACTGCAGGGGGGTTGAACTAGATGACCTTTAAAGGTCCCTCCCAACC